CGAATGACGCATGATATTTTTGCCAGAACGGAGTGGTTGAGAGGTGACGCCAGCAAGCCATAGAGATGATAATGATTATGTTAAGCTGTGGATATTAGACCCCTGCTGTCTGCCTGCCTCGGCCTACTACTTTGGAGTTCTCGCGGGGATTCCCGGAGAGTTCCCATTGGTTGGGGAAGTGCCGGAGGAGGGATTTCTGGTTGGTGGTTCCGGGAGGAGCTGTGTGGTGTTCGGGAGAGTTCCCGGGGAGCATGTGTGGAGTGTGCTGGTGGAGTTCAGAAATAAAGTTTGTTCCTGCTTGAGTGGCTCGTGATTTGTGCCCAGCCAGACTGCAGCAAGCATCCAAGACAATCAGGCTCTGCATGCTAAAACTGAAGAAAGAGCTAGAGGAAGAATGGAACAGGTAATAAAAAACAGGAACAAGCATGGACAGAGCGCACGCCTGTAATCCCAGTGACTCAGGAGGCAAGAGGATCACAAGTTCAAGGCCAGCCTCAGAAATTTAGTGAGATCCTGTCTTGGAAGAGAGACTAGACCACTTGGAAGACAGAACCTCTGACAATAAAGACAAAATATATAATCTTGAAAATAGAGTTGAACATGTGGAGAAGATGGTAAGAAACCATGAACAGAACATCCAAGAATTGTGGAATAACATGAAAATACCAAACTTTGGGGTTATTGGAATAGATGAAGGAGCAGAGATACAAACCAAAGGAATGCACAATCTTTTTCAATAACATAATAGCAGAAAATTTCTCAAACCTAAAGAATTGAATGGAAAATCAAATACAAGAGGCTTACAGAACTCCAAATGTACAGAATTACAGCAGACCCACACAAACACACATTATAATGAGAATTACTAACACAGAGAATAAAGATAAAATCTTAAAGGTTGTGAGAGAAAAAAATCAAATTACATATAGGAGGAAACTAATTCAGATCTCAACTGATTTCTCAACCCAGACCACAAAGCTAGAATAATATATTTTAAGCGCTGAAAGAAAACGGATGCCAACCAAAAATTTTATATTCAGCAAAATTAAGTTTCATATTTGAAGATGAAATTAAAACAATCCAATATAAACAAAAGTTAAAAGAATTCACAAGTATGGGGCTGGGGATATGGCTCAAGCGGCAGCGCGCTCACCTGGCATGCGTGTGGCCCGGGTTTGATCCTCAGCACCACATACAAAGATGTTGTGTCCCCCAAAAACTAAAAAATAAATATTAAAAAAATCCTCACTCTCTCTTTAAAAAAAAAAAAGAATTCACAAGTAGAAATCCTACACTACAGAGTAGTGTAGGATTGAATTCCATGAGGATGAAGTAGAAAAAAAGTGAAAACCAGCAAAGGAAGGATCTACACTAAAGGGACATTCAACCAAATGAGAAACTATGACAAATCAAAAACCAGAAATAAATCAAAATGACAGGGAATACAAATCATATCTCAGTAATAACCTTGAATGTTAAAAGCCTAAACTGATCAATAAAAAGACATAGACTGTCAGATTGAATTAAAAATCAGGACCTAACAATATGCTGTCTTCAAGAGACTTACCTCATGGGCAAAGACATTCACAGTCTGAAGGTGAAAGGATGGGAAAAACTAATCACCCATATGGATGGTGTAAACAAGCAGGGGTTTCCATTCTCATCTCAGATAAAGAAGACTTCCAACCAAAGTTAATCAGAAGAAACAAAGAAGGACATTTCATACTTCTTAAGGGAAGTATATATAAGCAGGACATAATAATTATAAATATTTATGCCCCAAAATATGGAGTACCTATGTACATCAAACAAACCCTTCTCAATTTCAAGAGTCAGATAGACCACAATACAATAGTACTGGGTGACTTTAACACCTCTCTCACTACTAGACAGATCTTCCAAACAAAAACTAAATAAGGAAACTATAGAGCTAAATAATACAATCAATAATTAGACTATATATATATATATTTTTTTTTCACCCATCAATGAGCAAATATACTTTCTTCTCAGCAGCACTTGGCTTCTTCTCTAAAATAGACCATATCTTATGCCACAAAGCAACTCTTAGTAAATACAAAAAAAAAAAAAAAAACACAGAGAAAATACCCTGCATTCTATCAGACCACAATGGGATGAAATTAGAAATCAACAATAAAATAAAAATAGAAGCTACTGTAATAAATAGAGTTAAATAATACACAACTGAATGATAACTGGATAGCAGAAGAAATCAAGGATGAAATTTTAAAAATTCTTAGAGGTAATTGAGAAAACTGATACAATATACCAAGTCTCTAGGACCCTATGAAGGCAGTACTAAGAGGAAAGTTTATTGCATTGGTGCATTCAATAATGCTAAGTGAAGTTAGTTAATCTGCCCTCCCTGCCAAAAAAAGTGCCAAATGTTTTCTCTGACATAATGAGGCTGACTCAAAGTGGGGTAGGGAGGGGGAGCATGGGAGGAATAGATGAACTCTAGATTGGGCAGAAGGGTGGGAGGGGAAGGGAGGAGGCAGGGGGTTAGAAATTATGGTGGAATGTTGTAGACATCATTATCCAAAGTACAGTGTGAAGACACAAATTGGTGTGAATATACTTTATATACAACCAGAGGGGGGAAAGAGAGAGAATAAAAAGTCAACAAGTAAATGACCTAACACTACATCTCAAAATCCTAGAGAAAGAAGAACAAATCAACACCAAAAGCAGTAGAAGACAAGAAATAATTAAAATTGAAGCTGAAATCAATGAAATTGAAACAAAAGAAACAATTGAAAAAATTGACCAAAAAAAAAGTTGGTTCTTTGAAAAACTAAATAAAATAGATAAACACTTGGCCATGCTAATGAAGAGAAAAAGAGAAAACTTAAGTTACTAAAATACAAGAAGAGGTTCCAGTGGGACGCTGGCATTCAAGCAGGATCCAAAGCCCAAAGTTCCAGTCTACGAAAGAGAGCTAGCGCCTTAGCAGAATCACCTATCAACACATCAGCAGATCACCAAGACTTCGCTTGGCTCCCACGCAGGTCACTCAGCTGCTACCTACCCACAGCACAACGCCATTGCCCAGCTCCCCCAACCTCACAGGCCCCCCCTCCCCAGCCCCCCCCCCCCCCGTGCTGAAAGCACACTGCCACCATCTTGGCTCAATGTTCTCGCCATATTAGGTGGGGGCAGTTCCCAGATCGGATCTCCAGGGGCCAGTGGATTTTTGCAGAAATCACCAGTACTATGACCACTCGTGCAGAAATCAGAGCCTCTCGGCTCAAGTAAGTCTCCAGACTCCAGACCCAAAGCCCACAGTTCTAGCTCATGCACGGCTCACAAGCAGCTTAGCAGAAACACCTACCAGCACCAGCACCTCTGCAGAACTCCAGACTGCGCCGCTCCCACGCAGGTCACTCTGCAGCTACCATTGCCCAGCTCCCCCCACATGCTGGAAGCAGACGACTCCATCTTGGAAAACCTTCCTCGCCATTTTGTGGTGGGCATTGCTATCAGATCAGATCACCATTTGAGCAGGTACCTGATTTCTAATTCCTCCCCCTCCCCAATGGCGTTAACTCAGCACAGTGGCCACTCAACACAAGATCAGCTCTCAGTTGGGCAGGAGTGCAGTGCAAACAGGGCACCGCCCACCTAGTGTGAGCCTGTGGGAGACAGCAGTCCCACAGTTGGGACCTGATAAGTAAGAAAGGGGAAGAGACTAAAGTCTGGAGCATCACAGAGAGACCAGGATCTGAGAAATCTCCAGGCAAGAGAGGGAGACCATACTGAGGGCCCAAGTCAGACAAGTGGTCACAAAAAAAGACCTGTGAGGCACTATTCCCTGAGGGCAGAGACACCTACTGGATGAGAAGAGAAAGAAACGGATCTCTAAGAGTAATTTTTCCCCTTCTTCTTTCTCTTCTACCCTTCTATCCTCTGTCCCTCACATCCCCAACATGTAAAACCAAGAACTTTGCATTAAATAGGACTTTGAGGACTGAGTGACCTGAATAATATAATATAAAGGAATTGCGTAAGCCTTTTTTTTTCCTTTTTCTTCTTTTTTCTTTTTCTTCTCTCTCTTTTTCTTTCTTTCATTCCCTTTTTTTGTCTTTCTTCTTTCTTTACCCTCCAAATTATACTATTTTAACATCCTGTATTTTTCTAAAACTATATGTGTGTTTGTTTTATGTACTATACTGTCTACCCCAAATTACCTCCTATCTATTCTCATGCTACTAACCCTCTTCACTAGATTTCTCCTTTATATTTCCTAAGATATATTAATTCTATACCCTCACATCTTCTCCCCTAAACATATCGTCCTATGCCTCACCCTAAGTTCATTGTCCACCACCAGAAGCTACAAAGCTATTTATGAAACTACTGATTACATTTTAAGTAATAATTGAATCCAACATTTCTGGACATTGAGACTAAACTGTAAATGTCTTAATAACAACAATTTGTTTATAGGTCATGTGTTGTTAATATTGGGATGTGTTAACATTGTCCTTCCCCACAAAGAAGAGATCTTTAAACCCTACAAGAGCACTACAAATCTATAGGGTAAAAACAGTAACATACCAGATGCACAGAGCTGGAAAGGAAGACACATGAGCAACATGAAAAGACAAGGGAAGAAAGTACCACAAACAAATCAAGACCACACATCATTAGAAGCATTGGCAGCTACAGCAGAAAAAATTACAGAAAAAGATTTCAGGATATACATGGTTAAAATGTTTTGGGATCTCAAAGAAGACACAAGAGAACAAATACAGCAGTGAAAGATCACTTTGACAATGAACTACATAAACAAATCCAAGAAGCAAAAGATCACCTCAACAAGGAGATAGAGGTTATACAAAAAACAAACAACTCATCAACTCCGCTCTTCTTTCTGGGCCCCATGTGCTCTGCCCAAAAGGCCTAGGTGATTCTGAGCAGCCCGTGTCCCAGAGATCTCTGGTGATCAGGGGTTCCTCAAGAGAACACCGGGTCCCCTAGGAAGATAAAAATGATCTCAGTGACCTTTAAGGATGTGGCTGTGAACTTCACCCAGGAGGAGTGGGCATTGCTGGATCCTTCCCAGAGGAACCTTTACAGAGATGTGATGCTTGAAGTCCTCAGAAACCTGGCTTTTATAGAAAACAAATGGTATGAAAAAAACGGTGAAGATGAGATCAGAAATTCTGAGATCATTCTAAGGCAATTTGAACACATCAGAAAACCTAGCCTTTACCTGATGTTGGTAGTAATGTAAGCCTAGGACCTATAAATAAATATAAAATCATGAATGAATTGAGCATTGATAATATGCTGGTCATTCTTCAAAGAAGACATGTGGTAAACTTCAACAGCCAAGAAGATAGTGTGGGGAAACTTTCAATGAGATTCCAGTTCTTAACTGGACAAAGAAAAATTTTAATATAGTAAATCCATGTGGTTGTTATATGTGTGCCAAGGACTTCATATGCACTTTATTCCTTCATAGGCACATCACATCTCACTCTGAACACAAATGCTACAAGCACGAGAAAATGTGAAGAGAAGCCATGTGAATTTAAACAGCACAGGCAATCCCTGTTTTCTCTCAAAAGTGTTCACACACAAATGTTAATACAAACTGGAGATGGACCCTATGAAAGTACAGTACGTGGGAAAGTTTCCAGTTGTTCCAGTGACATTCAAAGGCATGAAGATACTCATACTGGGTGGCAACCCTATGAATATAAACAATGTGGTGAAGCCTCATCTTCTCCCACAGATGTTCTGTTGTGTTAGCTAATGTTCATGTAAACTTGAACAACAATTTATGTAAACTTTGTAAAATGATCAGCTTCAGAACTATAGTACTTGAGATTTATAAAGAGCCCTGCCTTACTTGAGATAAGGCTCTGTCCCATCTCACTACATGTAAAAATGGCTATAAAAAAGGGTAAGCCAGATTTCAGTACAGTTAAAGTTGTGTCCAAAAGTAGGTTTTTGCCAAGATTACTAGGATCTCAAACAGGAAATTATGATGTATAACCCTGCCAGAATTCAAGGTAGCTATTATATAAGCTAAATATGTTTTTACCCTAGTTAGTTTTGTTTTGTAGTTTGCTTATAGATGGTTTAAGGATTGCCTATTAATATTCTAAAGAGGTATTGCTTTAAGAACACAACCTGGGTCAACATAAGATAAAGAGTTATCACCTACAGGATAGAGAGATAGACATTAAAGCCCAGTGCTCTTAATATAAGGCTGTTAACTTATTTGCTGGATGTTTAAGATCAAGTTTTTAAAATTAGTTAAATTAAAAGGGCCAAGAAAACCAATATTTGGCTCTTGCCCTCTGAGTCAGTCTGAATCAGGGAATAGGGGACTTCTCCAAAGGGCTCAGCAACTCTAGGCCACATAACCTCCTGAGCAGGGAGATTAATGAGACCAGTGGAGGACAGAAAGCCAAATGGTGCATTTGCTGTAAAGAGGAGGGTCATTAAAAAAGGGAGACATCCCTGATGCTTCTGAGGGAAGCCATATGGTCAAACAAGGCCTGGACCCATCCTAGCGCAAATGGCACTAGCAGAACTGAAAAGCTGCTATGAAGTTCCCGAGGACTCCCAGGATAATTCAGCTGACTGTAAACAATAGGTAGAAACAAAAGTCAGTTTGACTTGCTTCATCTTAAACACTTAGCAAAAGACAGTCAAAGCCAAAGCACAGCTGTTCCTGGACATCTTAAATGATAATAATAATTAAATGTAACTTCCATAAATAAATAGACTGGAGGCTACAAGAGAGATTCTTAGACAGAAATGCCTGATAACTGTCAAAGGAACTACTAGAATAGTTTTAGTCTAAGGCTTTTATTTCTAGACAACACAGGTAGACTTGATGTTTGCTAATATGGTTATCCAGCCCTAAGTAGCAGAATTAAAGATTTCTCTATTAGACACAGAGGAAAAACAAAAGGCTCTTTTGGAAGCTCGCAAAAATGTGCCAGGGGACGACGGGCGCCCCACCCAACTCACAAATTTGATTAACGAAGCTTTTCCTTTAACCCGGCCAAACTGGGACTATGCGACTGAAGCAGGTGAGAACCACCTACATCTCTATCGCCAGTTACTCATAGCGGGTCTCCATGGAGCAGGGGGGTCTCCATGGAGCAGGGCGACGGCCCACCAATTTGGCTCAGGTAAGACAGACTATCCAGGGGTCAGAGGAAACTCCGACAGCCTTCTTAGAGAAATTAAAAGAGGCTTATCGGAGGTTTACTCCCTTTGATCCTGATAATGAGGACCAAAAAGGAAACATTTAATGGGCCTGCCTTCGTCTCCCAGGTAAGTCAGGCAGTAGCCAATACATTAAAAATTAATTAAAAATTACATTATGGTTATAGACCCCAAAGTTCAGGACAGGTAAAAAAGATAAATAGAACCATTAAGGAGACTTTAACTAAATTGACACTTGAAACTGGCACTAGAGACTGGGTACAACTCCTACCTTTAGCCTTGTATGGGGCCCAAAACACCCCAGGCCCACATGGACTAACCCCATTTAAAATCCTGTACGGTGCCCCACCTCCCGCTATTAACTTTTATAAAACTAAAACCTATGCCTCCCTCACCCCATCTATGCAGACTCATTTGCATGCTTTGCAATTGGTCCAGAACGAGGTCTGGAAGCCTCTAGCCGCAGCATACAAAGAGGAACTTAAAACCCCCTTGCTGCCACATCCCTTCAAGGTCGGAGATACCGTCTGGGTACGCAGGCACCAGAGCAGGAACCTCGAACCGCGGTGGAAAGGACCCTACACTATCCTGCTGACCACTCCTACTGCACTCAAAGTGGACGGCATCGCTGCTTAGATCCATGCTTCCCACGTGAAGACTGCACATCCACAGGAGTCCGCAGACACCTCTCCGGATCCAGAATGAAAGTTGCAACGTACCCAAAATCCGCTAAAGATAAGACTCACTCGCTGTTAATTTTTCTTGCTTTGTGCTGTGTCTTCCCCATATCAGTTAACCCCAACCAATCTGTGAGCCAGACATGACAAGTATTATCGGGGACAAGAAATATAATTTAAAAAAAAAAAAAAAAAAACAGGATCCCCCACTTTCTGCCGACTCTTGCAGGAGCCTGAAATGGTACGGGGCAGGGCCATGTACCGCATTTGCCTGCAACCCCTTAAACATTACCTTTACTCAGGCAGGCAAAGCATCAAAAGATTGGATAAAAAAAAAAAAAAACAATGGGGCCTGAGAGTATATCATAAAACTGCCTATGACCCTGGGGTCCTATTCAAAATTAAATTAATAGTAAATACCAACCCCCAACCAGTATGCTGAGCCGTCAGCTGAAATAATGCTGGAATCCGAGCAGATGGGTCAATGGATATAAGATTATATCCATGATATAAAAAAAGGGGAGAATGAAGGACCCCAAGGCCCCAGGCCCAACATTAGGAAAACTAACCCCTGTGCCCTGAAGCTGCAAGATGTTCCATATAGATAACCCCGGAAGGGCCAAACTTGAGCAAACAGGGTAAAAACAGGAACTAAAAGGACAGGATGCAATTTTATGGTTTTTCTGAGAACTAAAGTGGGAAAACAAGTTTACCCCCCTAGGTGACTCAACTGCTGAATTCAGAGGGACCAATAGGAAGGCTGTTGCTGTGCTAAGCTAAGACCTAACCCACCTGTTCCCTATAAAAGATCTATACCCCAAAGCCCGGTGTGCCAGTTCACCGAAGCTCCGGCTGAGGTTTTGCTGTGCACCCGCAGGCGCCTGTGTGAGAATAAACGCCTCCTGCTTTTTGCAGCCAGTGTCTCGTGTGGTTCATTCCGGGTTTGGGATCTATGGATATTTCAGTTCAAAGACACATGAGAACATACAGTGGAGGTAAACCTTTTCAATGTGAGGTATGTGGGAAAGCCTTTTCATTCTGGAGAAAAACTCTATCAATGTAAACAAGGTGTTCAAACCTTTATTTCACACACAAGTCTTCACAGGATCACACACACAGGGAATGCACGTTTCAAATGTAAGATATGTGGAAAAGACTTTGCTTATCCCAGTTTACTTAGAAGATATCACAGAACACATACTGGAGAGAAACCCGATGAATGTAAGCAGTGTGGTAAAGCCTTTGATAGATCCAGTGACCTTCAAATACATGAAAGAACACATACTGGGGAGAAGCCCTATGACTGTAAGCAGTGTGGAAAAGCCTGTGCTACATCCAGTCACCTTTACTCACATGAAATAACCCATACTGGAGAAAAGCCCTATGACTGTAAGCAGTGTGGGAAAGCCTTTGCTACATCCACTTCCCTTCACATTCATGGAAGAACGCATACTGGAGAGAAGCCCTATGAGTGTAAGAAGTGTGGAAAAGTCTTCACTCATTTCTCTGCCCTTCACTCACATAAAAAAATTCATACTGCAGAGAAGCCTTATGCATGTAAGCAGTGTGGCAAAGCCTTTGCTACATCCAGTAGCCTTCACAGACATAGAACAACACATACTGAGGAGAAGCCCTATGAATGTAAGCAGTGTGGCAGAGCCTTTGCTACATCCTGTTACCTTCACTCACATGAAAAAACTCATACTGTAGAGAAGCCCTATGAGTGTGAGCAGTGTGGCAAAGCCTTTTCTACATCCAATTACCTTCAGATTCATAGAAGAATGCATACTGGGGAGAAGCCCTATGAATGTAAGTGGTGTGGCAAAGCCTTTGCTAGTTCCAGTAATCTTCAAAGACATGGAAGAACACATATTGGAGAGAAGCTCTATGGTTGTAAACAATGTGGTAAAGACTTTGTTACATCTTCTCAGCTTCACTTACATGAAGGAACCCATAGTGCAGAGAAATTGTACTCATGAAAACAATTGGCAAAGTCTTCTGTTAATAAGGTTTCACTCATTACCATGTAGTAAGTTTTCTACAGAAAATTTCTTTGAATGTGAAATGTGGAATCAATATTTCTTGTCCAATTCAAAGAGAAGAAAGTGCTCACATGTTTGAATATATCTATCTATCTATCTATAAATACTACTGGGGATTTAGTCTGGTGGTCATCTATCACTGAGCCATGGTGAAGGTGATCTCCCACTCACTGTCTTGATAGGGTCACAGTGAGGATGAATGCTGGCAAACCACACTGGTTGGTGGGAAACTGAAACCATGAGACCCCTTTTTATATAATTGGGACTTTTCATTTTCATGCTTATGTTCCTGACAGGAGGCATGAGTATGTTAAATGCCAAACAAATTAAATTTCAGATGGCTAGAACATAACAGGTAGTTCATGCCTTGAAGGCTGTTCTTCTTCCCCTCAGCATATCAAGGACAAAGTAGAAGGCTGTTCTTCTATCTCAGAACACTGAGGACAAATCTGATAATGGACAACAATCATCCTATGAAAGGTCATGAGAATTTTAGGCACCACATTGATTATATCAACTAGAACCCAAGCTCATATTTCTGGCCTCTTAGAAAACCTAATTATTATGCTTATTTTACAAAGCCCACCATATGTAGTCTCATTATTGATTGAGGAAAGTTATATTATACACTTAGGAAAGTTAAAACATATAAAGATATAATCTTCTCTTTTTATAAACCCTTTTTTACTTTACATAGGGTTTTATGATGAATATAGTTAATATTGGCAGAAAGTGGACTGATGTTTAGAACTTACTTTCTATTGAGGAAGATTATAAAGATATGAGAACTAGTGCACCTTGACTGAGAAACAAAGAAACTCTTTGAGAAAGCAGCTCAACCAGTTTTATGAGAATAAATTTAGGAATTAATTAAATTAGCTTTATAAGATATATTTTTACAACGATGTTAGAAATATTATCCTATTTAGATTTTGGGGTTTAAAAATTCTTAAGTTTTTAGTTGTATGGGTTTCTGATATGTTTTAAGAATGATTTATAAACTTTAGGATATTTTAAGTATAAGATTTAAGCGGGCTTTTTTAGATGGGAATTTTAGATTAGAAATAAAGTAAAGGTGTACTTTAAATTTAAAGGTTAATGATAGTTTAGGAGACTTAGAGTCTGGTTATGTAGTTTAGCATTAGTTAATAAGAAAATAGTAAATCTTGGAAAAATCTGAAACATGTAAATTATTGATGCATTTTATTAATGATTCTGTACTTTTAATAATTAAATAACTAAAGGTCATTTCCTGGAAAAATGTAAATTAATGTTACTTTTTTTGTACCCTTAATCATGGTTAAGAAAATGTCATGTCTTGGCAAAAGTTTTAAATTGTATAATCAATGGCGTATCTGAATCTATAATGATGAGAAAATTTGCAATAAAAATGACCCAGAGAAAGCTGCATTAGAGCTCTCTCTCTGGAGGTTGCTAAAAAAAAAAGAAAAAAGAAAAAAAAGAAATCCTTGAAATGAAAGAAATAATAAACCAAATTAAAAACTCAAATGAAAGCATCACCAACAGAGTAGACCACTTAGAAAATAGGACATCAGACAATGAAGATCAAATAAATCACCTTGAAAAGAACATAAAACACACAATGAAAATGAGAAGAAACCACAAGCAGAACATTCAAGAAATATGGGATAGCATAAAAAGACCAAATTTAAGAGGTATTGGGATAGAGGAAGGCATAGAGATCCAAACCAACGGAATGAACAATATATTCAATGAAATAATATCACAAAACTTTTCAAACATGAAGAATAAATTGGAAATCCAAATTCAAGAAGCCTACAGGACGCCGAATGTACAAAATCACAATAGACCCACACCAAGGCATATTGTAATGAAAATGTCCATCATGCAGAATAAGGAGAGAATTTTAAAAGCAATGAGAGAAAGGAATCAGGTTACATATAAGGGAAAACCAATTAGGATAATGGCAGATTTTTCAACACAGACTCTGAAAGCTAGAAGATCCTGGAACAAAATATATCAAGCTCTGAAAGATAATGGGTGCCAACAAAGAATCTTGTGTCCATCAAAATTAAGCTTCAGATTTGAAGATGAAATAAAATCCTTCTATGATAAACAAAAGTTAAAAGAATTTATAGCTAGAAAACCAGCACTACAAAACATCCTTGGTAAAATATTTCATGAAGAGGAAATGAAAAACAGCAATGAAAATCAGCAGAGGGAGGTAGTACACTAAAGGAAAAACTAATCAAAGAGGAAAGCCAACTCAAGTAAAATAACAAAAATAAACAAATATGGCTGGAAATACAAATCATGTCTTAATAGTAACCCTAAATATAATGGCTTAAATTCACCAATCAAAAGATATAGGCTACCAGATTGGATTAAAATAAGACCTAAAAATATGCTGCCTCCAGGAGACTCATCTGATAGGAAAAGATATACACAGACTGAAGGTGAAAAGTTGGGAAAAATCACACCACTCACATGGACGGTAGAAACAAGCAGGGGTTTCCATACTCATATCAAATAAAGTAGACTTCAAGCCAAGGTTAATTAAAAGGGATAAAAATGGACATTACATACTGCTCAAAAGAACCATACACCAACAAGACATAACAATCATAAATATATATGCCCCAAACAATGGTGCAGCTATGTTCACCAAACAAACTCTTGTTCTCAAGTTCAAGAGTCAAATTGACCACAATGCAATAATCTTGGGTGACTTTAACACACCTCTCACCAATGGATAGATATTCCAAAGAAAAGATGAATAAGGAAACTATAGAACTCGATAACACAATCAATAACTTAGACTTAACTGACATATATAGAATATTTCAACCTGCATTAAGTGGATATACTTTCTTCTCAATAGCACATGGATCCTTCTCTAAAATAGACCATATACTATGCCACAAAGCAACTCTTAGCAAATACAAGAAAGTAGAGATACTACCAGGCATTTTATCAGATCATAATGGAATAAAATTGGAAATCAATGACAATAAAATCTAAAAATTTATCTAACACCTGGAGACTAAACAATATGCTACTGAATGAAAAATGGGTCATAGAAGACATCAAAGAGGAGATTAAAAAATTCTTAGAGTTAAATGAGAACATAGACACAACATATCGAAATCTCTGCAACACTATATAAGCAGTACTAAGAGGAAAATTCATTGCATGGAGTTCATCCCTTAAAAGAAGAAAAAGTCAACAAATAAATGACTCACACTACATCTCAAAGCCCTAGAAAAAGAAGAGCAAACCAACAGCAAAAGCTATAGAAGGCAAGAAATAATTAGAACTAGAGTTGAAATCAATGAAATTTAAACAAAAGAAACAATTGAAAAAATTGACAAAACAAAAAGTTTGTTTTTTGAAAAAATAAATAAAATTGACAGACTCTTAGCCACGCTAACAAAGGGAAGAAGAGAGAAAACTCAAATTACCAGCATACATGATGAAACAGACACTACAGAAATAGAGGATAATTAGAAAGTATTTTGAAATCTTATACTCCAATAAAATAGAAGACAGTGAAGTCATCGACAAATTTCTTTAGTCATACAATTTGTCCAGATTTAGTCAGGAAGATACATACAATTTAAACAGATCAATATCAAGTGAGGAAATAGAAGAAGCCATCAAAAGCTTACCAATCAAGAAAAGCCCCAGGACCAGATGGATACACAACCAAGTTCTACAAGAGCTTTAAAGAAGAACTAATACCAATACTCTTCAATTTATTTCAGGAAATAGAAAAAGAGGCAGCACTTCCAAACTCATTCTATGAGGCCAATATCACCCTGATCCCAAAACCAGGCAAAGACACATCAAAGAAAAAAAAACTTCAGACCAATATCTCTAATGAACATAGATGCAAAAATTATCAATAAAATTTTGGCAAATCAAAAACAAAAACATATCAAAAAATTGTGCACCATGATCAAGTGGGATTCATCCCAGGGATGCAAGTTGGTTCAACATATGGAAATCAATAAATGTAATTCATCACATCAATAGACTTAAAGAATCATATGGTCATCTCAATAGACACAGAAAAAGCATTTGACAAAATACAGCACCCCTTTATGTTCATGAAATAAAAAGGGAGGGAACCCTTCCAAACTCATTCTATGAGGCTAATATCACCCTGATACCAAAACCGACAAAGACACACCAAAGAAAGAAAATTTTAGACCAATATCCCTGATAAACTTAGTTGCAAAAATTCTAAATAAAGTTCCCACAAATTGCATACAAAAACATATTAAAAATATAGTGCACCACGATCAAGTGGGGTTCATCCCAGGGATGCAGGGTTGGTCAACATATTGAAATCAAAAGACTTAATTCACCACATTAATAGACTTAAAAACAAGAATCATATGATCATCTCAATATATGCAGAAAAGGCATTTGACAAAATATAAAACACCTTCATGTTCAAAACACTAGAAAAACTAAGAATAGTAGGAACATGTCTCAATATTGCAAAAGCTATATATGCTAAACCCAAGGCCAGCATCATTCTAAATAGAGAAAAATTGAAAGCATTCCTTCTAGAACCTGGAACAAGACAAGGATGTCCTCTTTCACCACTTCTATTCAACATTATCCTTGAAACTCTAGCCAAAGCAATTAGACAAAAGAAAGAAATCAAAGTGATACAAATAGGTAAAGAAGATTTCAGAGTATCATTGTTGCTGATGACATGATTCTATATCTATAAGATCCAAAAAATTCCACCAGAAAACTTCTAGAACTAATAAATGAACTCAGCTAAGTAGCAGGATATAAAATCAAGACCCATAAATCAAATGCATCCTTATACATCAGTGATGAATCCACTAAAAGAGAAATTAGGAAAACTACTCCATTCACAATAGCCTCAAAAAAAATACCTGGGAATCAACCTAACAAAAGAGGTGAAAAACATCTAC